CGAAATACCTGTAGGCCGGTTGCGGCGCAGACATGAAGCAGCTTACCAATTGAACACCGCAAAAGTCGCCTCGTCCGCAGTGCTCACAGAGGAGATATCAAATGCATTGATAAGTCAGAAGGAACCTTGGGACGTGGCACAGGCATAATCATTCGACCTCAGCGCGGTCTTCAATTCCCCTGAAAAGTGCAAAACATCGGCGCATGTGGAAAAGTGGGGGCTCTGTAGTGGTAGCTGGTCTGTCGTTCGGTGGCCATTATGTTGCAGCTCCTTGGGGATGCGGCGAAAGCAGCAACATAAAAACACAGGGAACCTTAGCGTCAGCCACTTCAATGGACGAATGACGATGGTTGTTGCTCAGGTAGATAAATTCGTAATACAACCAAAACGTCTACAATTCCTCGGATCTGGAGCTGGGCTGGAGGCTGGAGGCTGGAGACTGGAGACTGGGGCCTGGACCGCACCATTGTCCGCTGTCTGGGCTGTCCCTCAGTGAGCCGTCGACATGTTGCTGAGCCGCACAGAGGCCAGCACTTTTGGGGCATTTTGTACTGCTTGTGTTCCTGCGGCTTATCCAGCGCTTTCAACGCCCTGCGTTCAACGCAGGCAGCCAGTTCAATCCGTTCATATTCTGGTTTACGAACAAAAACCGCAACTGCCACAGCAGCATCACTCATGGTCCACGCCCTCTGCGAGGGCCGGACAAATCCGATATGGCATTTGCGACTGGAGTCCTGCAATTATTACCTTCGCTGGCCGTATCGACTGGTCAAAGGCTGATTGCGCAATCGGTTTTTGAAAAATTGTCATAAAAATTAAGGAATTCTCCATCCGATAGATCCGTCCTCCACCTGTCAACTCCTAAAACTACACGATTTCCAAGCATTCTGAGAGGACTGCATAGTTGTGTTTGCTCATTACACAAAGGGGTCGCTTCCGCCAACCACATTTATATTTGCACAGTTCTCGAGCGAAAATGAAACAACAAATAGGTACGGCAATTACCATTACCCCAATGCCCACAGAATGTTTTAGGGGAAACCACAATTTCACACTGTAGAAACAATAAAAACAATAATCATCGACGCGACTTAGAGGTGTGCTTCCTTTGTAACTGCACCTGCTGCAGAAGGGGCTTATCAATTTCAGCATTTTGTAGCTGGTGAAGGGATCCGCGAGGTGCTCTAGATGCACAAGCTTATCGAAGGGTCAGATACAAAGTACGAGCCTTTCGGCGACACCGAAAAACCAACAGAAGTGAAATCGTTGTTAGATTGGAATTTCGACCCAATTAGGAAATTCTTGAATAAGCGGGAACAAATATTGACTGCTATGACTCTTTCTGCTGAAAAATGCGAACCCTTCGGGGGAAAAGATACAACTTCAAATACAACTTCTTTGACAGCCAAACACACATGAAATATATTGGTTTGTCTGCGATGAGAAAACTAATTGAGAATGACAATAGTGGCCATATTTTTGCTTAAAACTGTAAGAAGTAAACGCTTTTTTTCGCCGTTGCTGCGGAAAGAGGATTGGGCTTTCGGTTTTGGGCAGAGATAAAAATGCACCAACGATGGCGATTATTTCTTTAGGTCTCCAGACCGATACCAGAGCGGTAAGTGGCCTTGTAGATTTCAATTCCGAAAAAGCCAGAAAATTCACTACGGCCTGCAATTATTTATCCTCCTTAGGCTCCTTTTTGCAAGATATTAAAGGTGCCGACGCCAATGTAGTAGACACTTTTGATTTGCTATTTGCAGAATTGCATTGTATAAAATAAAAAACAGCAGTTATATCCGTTACTCGTAGAGATTCGTTGAAAACTACATATGTACCAAATGGAAGCTTTTCAGACCCTATTCAATTTACATATAAAGGGTGTTTTTCTGATATAAAAGTTTAAGTTGGCATTACTGTTCAAGATGGCGACCGATTTAACAGCTGTCAGTGACTTATGCTCAGTGTAGTTTGGCAATTCATCATGAATAGACTCACACCTGAACAAAGTTTGCTTATAGTGAAATCTTATTTTGTAAATAAATAATAGCGGAATATTTATCGCGCACTAAGTCCATTTTATCGTCCATTATCAGATTAACCATGGACCGTTTTCGCATCATGTTTCTCTTAATGATAACTCACATACCCAGAGACACAGGAGCACAGAAATTGTGTGCATAGGAATCTGAGTCCATCCACTTTATGATAGATTTTGCGAAGGGATCTTGATTTGTGTGCTTAACAAATCCAACTCGTGCAAGAACTGAAGCCAAACGATCATCAAGCAACGCGTAACAAGGCGTCAACAAAGGAAATTGCCTCATTTGGAGTGAATCCTCATTTGATTTCTCAAGTGTATGTCGAAACACCGTACCATCCAGAGAAACTGATGGTTAGGTACGCTTTATGGGCTGGTGGAATCATTGGTCCTTTATTCTTCATTTCGATGATGGCCAGAAAGTTACATTCATGATTACTAACTTTTTCATTCCTGAACTTAACAACCATGATGTCCAGGAGCTGTGGTTCTAACAAGACGGCGCGACATGTCACACAGCTCGTGTAAGAATCGATTTATTGAAAGACACTTTTGGTGACCGCCTAATTTCACGTTTTGAACCTGTGAATCGACCTCCCAGATCTTGGTCTATGCGCATAAGCCACATGTGCTTAATCATTTGACTACATAGGATACCTCGGATGAACATATGTATATGAGCTTAAAAGTTGTGATAAGGCAGGTTCTAGCAAAATTAACGCAAATTTGCTTCATAAGATTGCCCCAGTAAAATATCCACAGCCGGCTCTACTGTCTTATCAACGATTATGAAACTGCGTATACTAGATTCGTTGAAAAGTATGTAAAAGGTAGAAGGAAGCGTTTCCGAAGTGTCTATATTCTTGATCAGGATCAATAGCCAAGTCGATCTGGCCATGTTCGTCTGACCGTCCGTCTGTTAATCTGTCCGCCTAATTTTTAATTTTTTCTGTTAAAATTGTTTAATTTTATTATTTTATTTCCCAATTTCTAATGGTATTCCAGAAATGTTGAAATGTTGAGTATCTGAGTATTTATTTATTTGATGCGTATTTTATTATTTATGAGTATTATCCGTTTTCCGTTTTCTAGGGATTTGGATATAGGGATTATGCGAGGGTAAAAAATTTACCCGACGCTAGGGGACTATCGTGTCCATCTTCCAAAAACTCTTTAACTGCATAGCGGGTATCTGATAGCCGAGAAACTCGTACATTTTTAAGACGGACCTGGCCAAATCAACTCGGCTAGGGAACTTAACCAAAAATGTAAATACTTTATAGGATCGTATACGCTTCCTTCTACCTTGTACATGCTTTTTGAATAATCGAGTATACTCTTTTACTCTACGAGTAACTGATATAAAACCTACAAAATACACAACATTTCGAGAAATGTAATCTGAAAATATGTAATTTCATTATTGTTTTTCTATAAAAATATTAATAGTCTCGCATCGCATTAGCTAAAAAGTTGTCGAACTAGATAAATATGTAATTATGCATAGGTATGGCAACTTAATTCAAACTATTTTTCAGCTTATAAAATAATCAACACGTATGTATGTTTTCTTATTGAGTGAATACAGCCATTGCTTTTATCCCAATTAACAAGAAAGGGATATATTTTTCAACTACTTATATATCGATACATATACTATCTGAACTTGTAAGAGGTTTAAAATTAGTTAATTTGTTTTTGAAAAAAACTTTAAATTTAAATTTATATTTAAGAAAATTATTGTTGCGGGATTGGTTTTTAAAGAAGAGCTGTTCCCGCCGAAATCATAGGTTACCATGAGTACCAAGAGTACCATGGGTACCAAGAGCCACTAAGTGAAATGCCCACCTACATATTACAAGCCGAGGGAAAAAGTGTACTTATACCCACAAACTTTTCCTAAATAACGTAACTTTCGTAATTAGCTAATAAAAGAGAAAATATTTGCCATATTTTATAAATTTTTTGCAGTTGAAACCTTTTTCCTTTCAAGTAAGATTTATTTAAGCACTCGTTTTGCCGCGGAGTCGTAAATACGACAAGTAAAGTATAATAGCTGCGAATTTTCTAATCCAGACAATAAAAACATCAACAATTTAATAGCTAACTTCTACTAATTAATATAACTCGTATATTCTAATTAGAAGGAACATTAATTTATTGATGTAGATTAGTTTCTTTGTATTTTTGCCTATTGTATATCGATGTATCGATTGACGCAGGCTCCTGTGTAAAAACTCATTTAAGCGATATGGCAACGTTAAGAAATTTAAAGTAAACAGTATTGTAAACATAATTTTATATTTCAGTGAATTTGAATTTGGTTTGCCCCAAACCTAATAAAATTCAAATATATACTGTAAGATGCGTTATTTAAACAAATAAATAAGTAAAATCAGAATTTGACAACATGAAGACAGAGTAATTTTGTGCATACAAATCTAGGAATAATTCAAACAATCGAAAAGTTAAATGCCATACTGTCTGGCGGACATGTTACTACAATTTTTACATTTACATTTACATTTTTGCTGTGTAGGGTTGGAAATGCTTTGTTTTACATATTATTCTACACCGAATCTATTAAACCAGTTTACTCTAATAGTAGCATGTATAATAAGTAGAGAAACCTCGAATTCGAATTTTGAACCATTTCATTGGTCATTGGCGTTACCGGAAGTTAAAAATAATTTGTATAATTAGACATATAACATGTTTTACTGTTATAGCAAATATGAACTTTCTGTTTTACACAACATACAATGCTCTTTTTCATCAATTACTGCTGTGTTTAAACTCAGAAGGAATGAAGGAGCTCAGGCTCCAATGCTTTATGATATGAAATAACTTAGTTTATCTTTATTTAAGGCGAATTTTTAGGAAGAAATATACTTTTTAAGTTATGTGCTTCGTTACACATTTTAATATATAAATGATAAAAAAAAAGTATTTTGTGGGTACAAATGGTATAATTGGTAAATAATTCTGCGGTCACATTAAAACTTAAACACCTTCAGTCACTCTTAATTTTAAAACCACATGTGCGCTCAGTTAAACAATATAGTTTTGTGAATCCAAAGCATAGATAGCTATGGACAATGAAAGCGAAAATTGTAGTATGGAAGTGGTGGAGCCCGAGGACGCGGAGAGCGACATGAGCTCAAACAGCGGTAGTGACGAAGAAGATGATAACGCTGAGCCCAAGGTCCCCAAAGAGGTTTACTTGCCCGGAACGAAATTGGCCGACGATGAGGAACTGGTCTGCGATGAGAGTGCATACGTGATGCTGCACCAAGCTTCTACAGGAGCTCCCTGCCTGAGCTTCGATGTTATACCTGACGAGTTGGGTACGGGACGGCAGTCGTTTCCGATGACGGCTTACATTGTGGCCGGCACTCAAGCTTCCCGTGCCCATGTTAACAACCTTATTGTGATGAAAATGAGCAACTTGCACAAGACGCAGGACGATGACGGCGATGAAGACGAAGACGAGGAGTTGGAAGACTACCAAGACGACGTGGCTGACAGGGAGGAGCTTAAGAAGCCGCAGATGACATGCGCCCTGATTAAGCACCAAGGGTGCGTTAATCGCGTCCGTGCCCGCCGCTTGGGCAACTCGGTTTACGCCGCCTCATGGAGCGAGCTTGGTCGTGTCAACATCTGGGACCTAACCCAGCCCTTGCAGGCCGTCGAGGACGCTCAGATGGCCAAGCAGTATGAACAAAGCGAATTACGTCCGGTGTTTACTTTCGGTGGCCACCAGCAGGAAGGCTTCGCCATCGACTGGAGTCCTAGTTCAGATGGTGTGCTGGCGACAGGCGACTGTCGGCGAGACATACACGTGTGGACACCGGTGGAAGACGGAACATGGAAAGTGGACCAACGTCCACTAGTGGGCCACTCACAGTCAGTTGAAGATCTGCAATGGAGTCCAAACGAACGTAGCGTGCTCGCGTCCTGTTCGGTGGACAAAACCATCCGCATTTGGGACTGCCGCGCGGCGCCTCAGAAAGCATGTATGCTGACATGCCAGGATGCTCACCAGAGCGACGTAAACGTGATTTCGTGGAATCGCACCGAGCCTTTTATCGCCAGTGGCGGTGACGACGGCTACCTCCACATTTGGGACCTACGTCAGTTTCAAAACAAAAAGCCTATTGCCACTTTTAAGCACCATACGGACCACATCACTACTGTTGAATGGAGTCCCGGCGAAGCTACCGTACTGGCGTCAGGTGGCGACGATGACCAAATTGCTTTGTGGGATTTGGCTGTAGAGAAGGACAACGATCAGGCGGTGGACACGGCGCAAAACGAAGACGTCCTAAGCAAGTTGCCCCCACAACTTCTTTTTATTCACCAGGGGCAAAAGGAGATTAAAGAGCTACACTGGCACCCTCAACTACCGGGCGTCCTGCTTTCTACAGCCCACAGTGGCTTTAACATCTTTCGCACAATCAGTGTCTAACTACGCAGGTCTTCTATTATACTGTTACATAACGCTACAAAATAAAAACGAAACAAAAATTAAAATTTGGATTTCAAGCATTTTTGTTGGACTTCTTGAAACAAAATTGACCTAAGAAAAGATTCACGACACTGTAGACAAGACAGGCTTGGGCAGACGCGTTTGGTCATTGATTATGAATTACATACGCACGTGAATGGAAATCTTTTTTTATTTTTTTTATAAATCTGCATGCTTGCTCTTAGCATTCTGCCTTGTAATGTTCCTAATATCTAAGAGTTAACGGGAAATTAACTAGGAAGGGACGGATAGACTGGACAAATCGACTCGTCTAGAGATCCTCATCTGGTCTACCTACTCTACAAGAAACGGATATAACTAGTTCTTCTGCAAACGGTGTAGGAAATTGAAAAAAGGATACACCCAGTTTCCAAAATATATGAACAAATCAAACAATATACTGTTATCAGATAGACTTTTTTATAAACGGGTGGAAAACATTGTAAATCGCGCTACGATTTTTTTTGTCATTTACGCAAACTGGAAGGTTTCCAACGAATACGTTACAATAATACATACTTTGGGAGAAAAATAGAAGAATGTTTGAAGTGTTCATGGTCCATGCCTAAAGCACAAAAGTGACAAAAATTAGATAATTTAATAAATTATGTAAGATATATAAAATTATATGTACAAAATATACTCCCTTTTGATTTTTTTTAATGTAATTAATACGTCAGTCTTTAAATTTTTGTTCAGAAATGGTAGTTTTTTGGTAAATTTGTTCAGAAAACATAAAAAAAAAATTGAATTACGTGGAAAAAATATCGCGTACTAATTGTTGCATGGGACAGTAAAGTTAAATTTACGTTCATAAAAAGAAGAATGTAAGTCACAAGATTTCGACTAAAACCACTTGGCGGCAATTTTAAGACATTTTGCAATTTCAAATGTTTTGCGCCATGTACAGATGCTGCCACTCAGTTGAATAGAAAAGTCACAAAAAATACCGAATGGAAAGCATAGCGTTCAGGGCTGAACCTTTCGTTCACAACTGTCAGCATTTCCTCGTGCGCAAAGCAGTATAACGAAATCGAGCTGAAAATAACAATATCCGAAGAAATTCGATCAAAATGGTAAAGTCTTCGAACCCCCTGAACATCGTGCGCAGCATCTACAACAACGAGTTTCAATGGTGAGCGCGCATACACTCATCTTAATTGCAATGAATTGGACTTTATGTAATCGGTACAATTGATTTCCCATGCAGGATGCTGGTCAAGAGCTACGGACTGTTCTTCTTGGGAGTGCGTTTGGCCAAGGAGTTCGTGGGTGTCGAGCTGATGCCTGCGGTGGGGCCAGCATAAGAATACTACCAATATTTAAAAATTCCAAAACGGCAATTAAAGTTAACTTAGTATAATACAAGAAGAGGTAGATAATGTTTTATGATTTTTTGTATTAACTTCTGCTGATTATCAGGTCTTTAATTTTTGACTCGTCGGCGTCAATTTCTGTGATAAGACTATCGGCCAAAACGCTGGGGGTCATCTCGCGCTGCAGAAAGTTGGCCACCAGCTTACGGCTGGGAACTGCTCCTCCGTGGGCAAGAATTTCGGCGCGATATTTCTCACCAGCCTGCCGATTGAATGGGTTGGCTTCAAAGTACGTCTGCCAGATCCACGAAGCGATTGTTTTCGAAACAAGGTAGGCGTAATACTTGGCTCCGTAGCCCACTAGGTGGGAAAAGCGCAGCTGCCACGCAGTGTTCTCTACGTAGGGAAGGCCGTAGTAATGATCCTGTACTGAGCGTAGGGTGTCTGTGCTGCTTCCGCCATGTCGCGCCGATGTTCCGTGATATTCCTGATCAAGCGCTGAGTAAAACACCTGAAGTTGGGTCTCGCTTGCAGCGAACAGGTTCTTGGAAGCACACAGACGCCTAAGCATATCCTCGGAAATGGGTTCGTGGGTCTGAAAGTGTCGGGCGAAGGTTCGCAACACACGGGGATCGCCCGCAAAATACTCCATGAGCACACTGGGAACCTCAGCGAAGTCCGTGGAACAGCGCGTTCCTGTCACATGCTGGTGCTCGGTGCGAGCTAGCATCGAGTGCATTGCGTGGCCCATTTCGTGAAATAGGTTATCCAATCGCGCTGGTGACAGCAGCGTCGGTCCACTCCAACGTGGTTGCGCTAGACCTAGCATTACAACTACCACGGGAAGCTGGTAGGAGCCATCCGGCATACGCTTGCCGCCCTGGATGGTAAAGTGGCAGTCCTGATTTGGCTTGCCCACTCTCTCATAGAAGTCGCAGTAAATGTAGCCCAGCAGTCCTTCCCTCTCGTGGACAACGGCAAGCTTGTAGATGTCGTTGTGCCAGGCCTCGCCCGGCTTTAAATCTGTGTTCTGCAAACGGATGCCGTAAAGCGCATGCAGCAAGTTGTCCAGACCTTCCATGCAACCGCCAAGGGAGAAATATGGTAGGAACTCGTTGGCATGCTCTTCAAATAGTTGCCGTCTCAGCTGGTTGGTATAATAAGGCGTATCCCAAACTTCGGTTCTTGCATCCGCCTTCCCCCCTTCACGGCGTTTCATTTGTGACATCCGGGCGAAATCGGAATCAGCGCGTGGTCGCAGCTTTTCTGACAGCTCGTTGATAAAATCTCGGACTACCTCGGGTTTCTCCATCGTGCTACCTTTAAGGGCCCGGTGACCATATGTATCGAATCCACAGCTGCGCGCCAGTTCATGCCGGCAAAGCAGCAGGTCTCGAAGAAGATCCTCCTGGCTCTTTGACGGCTGCAGGTACAACCGGTAGGCAGCCTCCCGCATCTGGACGTTCTCTGCGTTTGTGCACAGTCCAGTGATAATTACATTTTCTCCGGAGGTAGGAAAGCTGAAAAAATATTTTTAGTATAGCCCAGAATGGCTTATATATGAACTTACTAGTTACGAAAGGACTCTGGGACTTGGCTGCGTGGTAGAACACTAGGTTGCACGGCTCCACTCATAAACTTCTGGCCTAGCTGAAGAATATAGTCATTTAGCCGCACAACACGCATACGTTCCTCCTCGGGCAAATGGATCCCACACTGCTCGAAGTCGAATAGAAACAAACGTGCCACATGCCTGTCTACTTCGCTGGTGGGCAGCTTGTCCCCATGATCCACTACTTGGCTTAAGGCCTTATAGATGGGCTTATGCGTGTTAAGGCTCTCGACCATTCCGCAAATGCTTATGCAGGCCTGCTCTGCTGCCTGTGTGTATCTGCTGTGAGGATGCGCAATCCGTACAAACTCTGCGAGATCCGCCACTTTGCACAATGTGTCAGAAAGTTCGTCAAAAATGTCGACCATCTTCCGACGTCGTTGATCGGAGATGGCCTCCGAGATCAGCTCCTGCGTCCGGCTTTCCACATTGTCTCGCAGAAGAAAGAAGCCCTCAAAACTCCGCAGCTCGGGCATGCCAAAGAGGCCCTAAGGGAAAAAGGCCATGTATGCCTAGTCAGAGGTCCTGGGATTTACAGACTTGGGCTCTTACAACATCGTCGTGGGTGAAGTTAATCCGCCTAGCCGGAGGCGCATTAAACGCCGTAGCCAGCGGCGTCCACGTAGAGACTCTGCGGCTACAATTCCTCGATCGCCAGCGCAGCAAGGTTCGACTAAATTCTAGCATGGCTCTTCCCAAATGACGGATCACTTAAATTGCTTATTTATAACGAAATGGTTATATGTGAAGTCAGCTGTCGGCGAAGTCATCTGGTTGCCAGACGTTTTGCTTTTCTTTTACCGACAGACAAACACAGCACTTAACTGCGTGTGCAGCCCTATAGCGTAGAGTTGTGTTAATACTATTTTCCAGAGTTGTCTGCAGTATTAACTAGGGCGCTCTAATTTTGAATCTTACTAATTTCCAAAATACCGTTAGTTAAAAAGCCTTTGTCTTACGTTAAGCTGCCAATTAAATTGTGCTACTAGAAGGTGAAAGGAATATAGTGACCTGCGAGAAAAGATTTGGCAGAGTAACAGGGCTAATACAGTCCTTCCCATAGTCATTCATCCTAAATCGCTTCCAAATGTTTGGACATTTCCAAAAGGCGGACTAACTGGCCTTTAATATGAGTAAAGGGCTATACTAGAGTCGTTGAAAAGTATGTAACAGGTAAAAAGAAACGTTTGGTCCTATCAAGTATACATACATATATTCATGATCAGAATCAATAGCCAATTCGATATGGCCACTTCTGTCTGTCCATCCATTTGTCCGTATAAACGCCTCGATCTGGGGAATTATAAAAACTAGAAAGTTGATAATAAGCTTGCCCAAAACTGCCACGAGACAGCTTGCCAATTTCTATTGGTATACCAAGAATACTTTGGCCACGACCTTTCTAACGCCCACAAACCGACCAAAACTGTTACGCCCACACTTAAAAATTTGTTTTTTTTCATGTTTTGAGTAAAGGGTATCTGATAGGCGCGGAACTTGAATATAGCGTACTCTCTTGTTTTAAATAATTTTTCAAATACATATGCGCCATGCAACCCAAATTCTTTTGTTGGACATTAAAAATAGTATTCTAAAACTTATAAAAGTACTAAAAGTTCGGAGCTAGCCATGTCATGTGTCGCTTTATTAAATTGTCTATGCTAGCTTAATAAAAATAGTATTCTTAAGTAAGATAGAGTTGCAGGGGAATTAAAAAAATATATTATTTTATGAACTATTTACAAAACAAAAAATGCGTATTAAGCTTGTATCCACAGTATAAATAAATAGTATGCTGTTATCTATAATAATTAAGTTTTTTTCGTTTAGCCTAAAATACAACACGAAGCATATAAACTTTTTTCATAAAATATATAAAACACTTAGTCCTGAATTTATTCTCAAGAAATTCCTTACGATATAATTTATCGATAGTTCACACTTCCGATATAGTCACTGTTTTCCATCCCCATCAGTTAACTATTAGCAGCTCTATCCGCGCGTGGTCCGTTTGCCGGCATGATGCGATCTATTCTTTGCATGATTTTGCTGATTTTGGCAAGAAATCACCATACTG